TTGCATGGTCTGCAGCTAATTCCTGTGCATGCATACAGCATGTGTGCACTTGCAAGCCCTTGATGTGTGCTGGGGGGTATGCAACAAAAGCATGTGCCAGCATCCCTGAAGTGACCCACTATATGCTACAATAAAGCATGTACAAGCTCTCTTAGCCAGGTGTGCATCCTGATGAGCATCTTCAGAGCTTCACAGGGGGTGACTTGGTGGCTCTGGGGAATGCTTTGGATCAGGGGCAGGCTGCAGGATCTGCTAGTGTGCAGTGACAGTATCTGGACCTGGATGATTGGGTTTGGGGCTTAGGGTTAGGTCGGGTTTCGTTCTTATTTAGCCTCTGCCCGAGGGCCTCTGGGTGCTGATGAGCAAGAAGACCATGATCTGGACCTCGAGGCTGCTGAGGAGATTCTCTCGAAATACTTCAGTGGAGTGTCTCATCTGCAACGACATGAATTCAGGTAATCTTAGCTTTTAAATTCCACAGATCAGGCAGAGTCTGCAAAGGGTGCGGCGCAAATGGCCCGACTGGTTTGCAATATTGGTGCAGGTCGAAGACCCTAGCTTGCAACTAGTGGGTGTGGAGGGGGGAAGGGTTCATCGAGTGCACTGTGTCATTTGCAGTCAATACGATCGATCTATATGTTAACCCAGGGCAGCTCGACATGCTCTACAAGATTTCTTCCACAGGTCAGAGCAAGACTAATGTATGCCGAAATTTGCATCGACTGATACACCGGGAAGGGGTGACCCTTCCACTTGAAATCAGTCTGGTTCAGGCTCCAGTCCGAAAGCGCAGGCCGTGTGTGCAAAAGGTTATGGTCTGGTACCCGTGCATCTACCCCAGCACGTGGATGTCCTACTTGCTGGAGAATCAAAGCTACTTGGTTCTTGGTGGTGTGGATATTCAGGAACCTAGCAAATGGCAGGGTGTTCTGAGTGACTTCTGGCGGCAACACTTGCTTTACGACACGTCCCATATCATGAATGAGCCTGGCTCGCCACCGCAAACCCACACTGTTCCCCTTTATCTGCATGGTGATGAGGGGCGTGGGAAGTACAAGCTACCGATTATGGTGGAAGCCATCCAGCCATGCTTGTCATGGAAAGGCACAGCTTTCAAGAACTCCAGCGGGCCCCACGAAATCACAAATGAGTCATAGTTTGCATAAGCTATCCTAGATATGTCTTAAGTATATAAGATTCGAGCTTTTTAACCTGAAGCAGTTAATAATACAAAGCCCAAGGCATACCTATGCGACTCGGTTTCTGTTCACCCTGGTCCCGGCGGAGCTCTACTGGCAAGATGCAACCCTTGATGCATTGAACCAGGCCCTATGCAATGACCTGACTGCACTCTTCAAAGAAGGGCTCACTGCTCTGAGGTTGCAGCTGGTTCCGAGTAGCAGTAGCTTCCAGCCTTGCAGCAGATCGAGCTAAGGTTGCAACCCCACTGGGCCCTACCACGTTGCATTTCGCAATGCTTGGGGTGAAGGGAGATTGGGTGTATTTGAGGAAGGTGACTTGTGTGCGGTTCAGTAAGCTGTTGTGTTAGGAATTTATACCACCTTTCTCTCCTTTTCATGGTAGCCTCTCTCACTCTCTCGCTGACTCCCTCCCTTACCCTCTCTCGATCTATCTCTTTCTCTCTCTCTCTCTCTCTCTCTCTCTCTCCCTCTGTCCTTCCCCGTGTCTCACTCTGTCTCTCTCTCTCTCTCTCTCTCTCTCTCTGAACTCTCCGTTGTGTGTTTCTGCACTTCTCACCTAAGGTGATGTCACTCAACACAGGGTGGCAGTGTAAACGAAAGTGTCATCTTTGCTGCAGTGTGGATTCTTGGTCACAATATGCATTAATGCAGCATGCATCATAGGACGCCCATGATCTATCCCAGGATTGGTACAACATGGCTCCGGATGCACACTGGAGATGTTCCAAGGGCCGAACGCCTTTCAAGCGCAAAACATCGCCGATCCTCAAAGTGCCTGGGCTCACAAGTGCTTCCCGGGCGCTGGTTGACCCAGCACACACGTGGCATATGGGGCTTCTCTACTGCAGATATCTTAAGAAATTGTTCTAGGATCCAGGAGGTTGTTTGCAAGCTAGTGCTGCCGGTTCTTGCAGCTGAGATGTGGAAGAGATTTCGTGACAAGTGGGCTAGTGCTACTGTGCTACCTGAATTTGATCCCTGGGCGTGGCCTGCCAACACAGCTATGTGCAGCCTATGCTGATTTTGTGCAATGGTGCAGCCAGTGCGGCAAACCCACTAGCATACGGAGCTTCACGAAGAGTGGATTTAAAATGGGGTGCCCTAGCTCAAAGTGACTAGCATATAATTTGCATGGTTACTGCACACACTATCGATGATATGTATAGCAGTTTTTTATTTTAGATGGCCTCGATATATGATCGATAACCAAGGCAGCAAGGTTCTGCCTACCCAACTGCGACGGGGGGTAGAGGGGCCGACACGGCCTTGATGACAGCATGGCTGGAGGATTTTGCAGGCAGGCTTGACTCTAAGCATAAATTATTCTCGATCCCTCACTAGAAATCGATCGCAATTGTTGAGCTGAGGAATGCTCTGATGATATGTTCTCTATGCTGGTGTATGTTCTCCAATGTGTGAACCAGTATTTCAGGCTACTTCACACCAATGGATTATGGTTGGCTCCTGGAGCTTGTGGTGTAGCTGCTTCACTATGTGAGGATATGTGTGATGCTTGGCCCGAAACTCTTCACTAGGCTAACTTTGGGTTTTTTGTGCTTGGGGGCTTATATTTAATATTAATTACTGCAGAGCTTATGATTGCATGGACTTGGTGCCAGTCTGGCTATGCGAGATTGGCAAGAGCTTGTGTGGATCGGGGATATCGACTATTCAGAATGCGACCAAAGCTGCATATGCAGCAGCATTTTGCGAAGCCTGGTAGCATATGTTAACCACATGTGTATATTTGTGTGTGTCCCTTGCTATAGCTTTGCAAGGATACTGCTCCAGCACTGCTTCAGCGAGGGCATCTCATGCCTGAATCCCTTAAGTGCGGGGCTTATGCGTTTGTGGGATGTCGATCATGTGTGATTACCCATGCATCCTACCATACTGCACATGCCAATTGTTGTGCAACTGAGACAGCGCATGCTGGTCCGACGAGGACTTTATTGGCAGATGTGCCAGAGTAGCGCGGCGCAGTGGAACACATGCTCTTTCGACCGCTTACCGTACCATGCAAAAAATGCTGGGCGGCTACAAGCAACAGCTTCTGAAACAGACCAACCAGCGGACCTGAAAAAGCTGGGGTGCCCGACGGAAGAGCTCCCAGTAGTCGTCGGTGTAGCAGAGCATCATTCACATCAGATTTCGGAACGGGCGGTTCTTATTGAAACGTGCGTTCTTTCAGGAAACGAGCGGAAACCATCCGAAGCGTGCTATTCTTAATTTAGGACCTCAGAACGTGCAGAAAACACCCCCGGGCAAGAATTTATTAGACAACGGAATCTTCAGGTATATACTTATATACAGATATACATATATACATATAAACTTATATACGTATATACATATATACATGTATACATGTATACACATATACATATATACACAAAAAACATATACACATACATACATACATACATACATACATACATATATACATATATACATATATACATATATACATATATACATATATACACATATACATATATACATATACACATACATATATATATATATCATGTTCTATGAATACACGTGTGTACGCATGTATGTTCTTTTTGAGTCGCAGTTTCCCCCGCAACAGTGCCAAGCGGCACCAAGAAACAGCCTCGATGCTCCCACGAACTTCGGACGAACAGAATCATTAACTGACCAAACAATCAAAAACACACATACCTAAATAGGACACAAAGATGTATACACACCCCACAGCCCAAACCTAAGCCCATTCGCATGCATGCCCGACTTTTTTCTGCTCTGAGGAGCCAGTGCGCAACTCGAAAGAGGCGGTGGAGAGGATCAGCGGGCTCACGTCTCTGGGTGCCGCTTAGGAACTTTTGTTCATCTTGCTTTCATCTACAGAATGGACCCAGGGGGTATGCAAAGAACCAGTGCAAGAAGGAATCATCGTTTATTCTATGCTCAGTAATTCAGTATGAACTTAAGGGGTTTGGAAACGATAGTAGTTTTCTATCATAGCGTAAGTCCGAGGTGCTACTTTAACGATATTCGTCGTGCTTTAGTTCGAATGGGATCAAAGGTCTGAAATCTACAAGCAGCCGGTGTTTGCCGGCTTCTGCCTTACACAGCTGTACCTTGGAGCCAAGCATGGGTTTTTGGGGTTATTTGCAGTCTATGTTCAGATGTTGTTTTTTCGAGGATGGTAATGATGATATCGAAAGTAGTTGAATGCTTTATATGACTGTTCCGTAAACTTCCACTGTAACTAGTCGAAAGGCCTTTTAAGAGAGACAGAGCCCAGCATGATGCCAGAGCCCTTGGGCTACTTGGATCAGAGGAACGAGTCCGTCCATGGTCTTACATACCCCAAGCCCTAAACCCTAAGCCCTCAGTAGTTGTCTTACATGGCTTAGAATTTAAGGTTTAGCGTTGTAGGGTTTAGGGTTTAGCGTGTCGGGTCTGGGGTTCTCCCTTATATAGGAATCCGAACCTGAAAGCCTGAAGGCCCTTAAACAGAGGGCTTGTAAAGAGAGGGTCTACATTGCCTCATAGGGACCCTTCGGAGGGGGGGGGTAAGGGGGGGGGGGTCTTTCCTTCCGTAAATCGGCCTTGCCCTACCCCCTAAGGCTCCTTATGATCACCCTCAACAACAAAATCCTGAGCATGTAATCGCCAGGCCCTCAGCCCCAAAAGAAAGGTTTAGGGTTTAGGGGTTAGGCTGCCCCACAACCCGAAGGTCCCAAACCCTGATCCCTCAACCCCAAGCCCCCGATCGAAAATTCACACGAACCCCTAAGCCCTACGCCCTCTAACACAACCGAAGGTACGATGTTGAGCACGAGAAGAATGGGTTGCTGCTCTACGACCGACGGCCGAAACTGCCCAAGAAGGATCTGCGGGCCTTCTTCAATGGAAGCTCACCGGAGCAGTTTAGGGCTTAGGGGGTGTCGCTGTAGTAGGCTTTAGACTTTTGGTGTTTCTGCACGCTTTTAGTGGGTAGACCCCGAGTTTTGTGGGATGTTTTTAAGTCCTCTGGAAAGCTGAAAGCTGACATTTGTCTGGCATATGAACTGCCCGGCTCAGGAAGCTTGCTGGCTGACCGATGGAAGCTTCCAGCGAAGAAGCGGGTGCGACGGGTGCGGCGATCCAGTGGCAAAGCGGTGACCCTGGGAAGGTTTGGCCCTGTTGCGAGAAAGAGAAAAGGCCATGCAAAAAGCGTGAGTTATTTAGGGTTTAGGGTTTCGGGTTTAGGTGAGCTAACAAGCTAAGACACACACACACACACTCACACACTCACATACACGCACATTCACAGTCCGCCGACGTGAGCCCCCTGCGCCCTGAGTTTATGGCTCGGGGGCCCACAGCATTGAGTCATGATGCTAGGGCTTGGGGCTCAGGGGTTTAGGGTTTGCGGTTTAGCTTTTCGGGTTCGTGTCACCGTTTAGGGTTAAGGGCTTCAGGGTTTCGGGTTTAGAGTGATACACAGCTCCGGGAGGGTTCGTAAATATCGGCGCCTTAGATGCTAAGCCACGGCTAAAGAGCCGAAACCCAATCATCCAGATCCTCCAACAACACTTGAATGAAGGAATAGACCTTCAGTTTTAGCAGGATCCCTAAGATGACGTATCCCAGAGGGTCCATATTAGGTCCCGAAAACCACAATACGGATGGTTATACTGGGTTTACTGGGTTCTAGGAATACGTTGTTTGGACTTGTTCCTTAAAAGGAACCATGATGAAAGTCCATACTTTTTGTCCCTGGTTCCTCCAAAGGTTAGTATATGAACCTTGTAGGTTATATTCCTGAATTCAGGGATTTTAGAAGATCTGTGCATCCGGACGCAAATTAAAGCCTCGATTCAGGTGCAAGACTACAGCAGTGGGCATAGGGTTTAAGGCTTTAAGGGTTTAGGACTTTACCGTAGGGGTTTAGCTTTTGGGGCTTTAGGAGTTTTTCAAGCCGATAAACCCCCAGCCCTAAACCCTTAAAGCCCTTAAGCCCTGAACCCCTAAACTCTGACTCAATTGGCCAAGGTCAGTTTCAACACGGCGGCCAGTTCCGCCAACTGGGCCGATGCTATTCAACTGCTAGTGGCAGCTAGCGAGGCAGGGATGTCCCGTGGGTTTAGGGTTTAGGGTTGCGGGTGTAGAGTTCAGGATATAGGGGCTATAGGGTTCCGGGTGTGGGTTTTAGGGAGTAAAGTCTACCCTCTCACCCCAACCCACACTCGGGATCAGATGAGGTTTTGAGGGAGAAGGGAGGGTTTGGCTAAGATTAAGCTTTCGAGCTGAGAGTTTTGGAAATTTTCAGGTGTTGAGGGTCTGTACCCAGACCTTCCCGATCGCTTGTTGCACCGTACTTGTATGTGTGACTCTAATAGTCACCATTTTGCTGCTTCGTTCTGTGTCGTGAGCACCAAGCCATGCTTGACCTTGGGATACTTCGGGAATCTAGGCTTCAGGCTTCTGAGTCTTTGGGAGTTCAGGATTTAGATGTTTAGGTGGTTTTTGGGTTGTAGCTTGCCTTGCGTCGGAGATGCAGGATGAATGAGCCGAGATGAAAAATCTAGTGCCCAGGGTTTCGTTGGAGTTTAGTGTAAATGCGTTCAGGCCGGTAGCTTTGCAGTTGTGATCATGTTCGTCAAGGCCACTGCTATTCAGTTTCAGACTATTGCACATAGGGGGCTCAGACACACAGCCGCTATGGAGTTAGGCCTCCAAGACCACAGTATTCATAAGCAAGCTGTTCGGGCCCTAGACCTTAAAGCCTGTAAACCCCAAGCCCTAGAGGCTTAGCTCTGTACAGTGCAAACGCATATGGACCCTCTTGGTTTTCGGCTGCGGGGTCCTGTTGATATTTAGCACTTAGGTTTGTAGTACCAGAAAATTAGGAACTACGAAGGGGATGCTCGTACCACAGATTCAGACCCCAGAAATTGGAAATTTCATTGGGGCTGCTGGATGGTCCTATGGCACCTGCAGCCTAACACATTTCTTCAGCAAGCCAGCCCCAGCACACTCCGAATCCCAAACCCCCGGTTTTAGAATTTAGGGTTTAGGGTTCAAAAGCCTTAACCCGGCCATCACCACCCCACTTCTACAGCCCTTAAGCTCCCAATCCCCACAGCCTCGAAACACCCTACGCCGTGCACCCCAAAAGACCTCTGCACCCTAAAACCCCTAGAGACCTCAACCCTGAACCCTTCAAATCCTAAACCAAGAGCTCTACTTTATTGACTAAACCCTGCTACACCCTAAACCTCGAGGCAAAGCTGCGCCGCAGCGTCGTCGGCGAGAATGCCGCGCTGTCTGCGAGCAGCGATGGACTTGGCTGGAGGTCTCCTTATCCTTTAAGGGTACTTAGGGTTCCATACCGGGGTTCCCTTTAAGGGGCCTTTACGAGTTCTGTAATAGGGTTGCCTTTAAGGTCACTTTACCCAGAGGGTCCATATATACTACCACGATGGAATTATTAATGGGGGTGTTTTGGGTTTTGTCATGTGTCCAAGGGCTGAAGCATTTGGGGCTTTGCCTTCAGGGCTACCGTTTAGGGTATACTGGAGGGTTTAGAGTATAGGGGTTTGGGCAATTTCGGGTTCAGGGGGCGTTTAGGGTTTACCCTTAGCAACAAAATAGCCCAAAAGCCTTATATAATAGGGTCCTTGGGCCCAAAAGCCTTAAAATATGAGTCCATTGAGGGTAAGGGTTAGCTTCTTGGTGTCATCGCGTGTCTTGGGCCTGGCGGTCGCCATCTGACAGTCTCCGGCAAAGAAGAGACCCCTAATCTCACATCCCAGAGGGTCCGAATATTCAATTAATAAGGTTTTAAGTCCCAAGATCCATACTCTGAGTGTTTTTTTGACCTAGAAACGCTACTATTTGGGTACTTGGACCCTTAGGGCATGTTCAGAAGCACCCTACAAGTATCACTCCCCCTCGCACGTACGGAGACCTCCACCACCCTAAGCTCCCGATAAAGTCTCAATGCCCTAAATAGCCGGAAGCCCTAAACTCCTAAAGCCTTAGCACGCTAAACCCCATAGAATCCACACAGAACCCTCTGAAAATCCTGATACAACTTTTTGCTAAGGACCTTTCTAGAATGCTCCCGAAAAGCCATATTGAACTCTGCCAGGACCTCTTTAAAGAAGCCCTACGAAATCCTTACAAAACTTTGTTCACAAGCCGTTTAGAAGCTTTCACCGCCCCCCCCCCCTCCCACGAAAGGCCACCAATGTTTGTTCCTTGGCGTCCTATATCAGAATTACAATACTTGTATACTATGCTCCAATACCCTATTCTAATCATCAAGGCCTTTACCCCAAACAACCTACCTCTTTCAGGGACTGTATACGGAAATCATACTCCGGAACCCTGGAAATCAAGGCTGGTTTACCTGAGAAGCCTCCCCTAAGCCCCCAAACCCTAAAGCCCCAAATCCGGTCAAGGCTTACCTTACAAGCCTTCATCCCTAAACCCCACCCCCTAAACCCTAATCCCTAAACCCTAAAACCCTAAATAACAGAAGAGCCCTAACCCACCCCCCCACCCCTCAGACGCAGCCAGGTCTGGCTTGGCGATTTTTGGGCTCCTCCTCCCCAAAGGCGGATGAGGGTTTAGGGTTTAGTAGGATTTAGGGTTTAGGGTTTAGTAGGGTGGGTGTAGGTCAGGGTTTAGGGCTTAGGGCAGGGAGTAGGTTTGGGTTCAGGGTTTAGGGTTTGGGGTTTAGGGCCGGGTTTAGCAGGGTGGGTGTAGGTCAGGGTTTAAGATTTAGGGAAGGGAGTAGGTTTGGGTTTAGGGGTTAGGGTATAGGGTTGGGTGGTTCTCTACTGTAGTTCGAGTGGTTGAGAAGCAACGACCGGGGTCATCAGAAAGAAGGGGGATCAACATTAAAAGTATGTCCGTGATAGGGTGGTTATTAGTTCGGGAGTTCTTCGCTGTCATTTCCACAGGCTCGAGGCAGACAGGAGATGTAAACTCTAAACCCGAAGCCCTACTTGGAAGATCCGATGCTTCATAAGTAGGTCATGGCTGAGCTATCTCAGTACCCGTTTGCGGATAGCGTAGTCGCAACCCTACCTATAACCGGCTAGCGAAGTCCTCTGATCCTCTGGGTAAACCGAGATGCGTCCTAACCCGAAGCCTACCTTAAACCCAAAGCCCTAAATCCTAAACCCTAAGCCCTGAACCCTATCTCCATGCGAAGTTACGAAGCTGGGAGGCCTCAGGCCTTCCACGGTGACGCTGAATGCTGCAGGCGCCTCGTGGTAGGTTCGCTCTTTTGGATGTGTTTGCTTTCGGGTTTTGGGGAGAGAGAGTTTAGGCATCGCCCCATACAAAGAAGTCTGAGGCAACTCTAAGACCTAGCAGCATGTCGGCTAACAACATCACCTGAGCCATCGAATTCCGGGAATCAAAGATTTCTGAGCACGGGCCCTAAAGCATGAACGCCGAACTAAACCCTGAATCCAAAATCTACGGTTTAGGGTTTCGGGTGTCCTAAGTCCCTTATCTCCCTTGTCACCCTAAACCCTAAGCCCTAAAGCCTAACGTCTAAACCCTAAACCCCAAACCGTCTCAGCAAAGCCCAAACTCCTACTGGAGGCACCTTGTGGGTCCGGGCCTCCTCCTGGCCGAAAGCAAGCTCCATGATGCAGGACTCGCTTCAGGGCTTAGGGGTTTAGGGGTGAGGGTTTTAGGGTTTAGGGCTTTAGGGTTTTAGGGGTGAGGGGTTTTAGGGTTTAGCGCTTAGGGTTTCTACTGCGGTTTGGAGTTTACGGCTTTTGGGGTTTAGGGTCTTGGCTTCAAGGGCTGCTGTCAAAGGTTTAAGGATCTCTAGGGGTGGGTCGGAATACCTTATAATCGGATTTCGAGGGTTCCTAGATGATGCTTTGTATAATATACCGGACTTGGGGTCAACAGTTTACAGCATACATGTTTTATCCATCGGGGCTCCTTTCTAGGATTCTGCTCTGAGGGGAGAATGCAGGCTTGAGGGTTAAAGGGATTGTAGGACGAGGACGAGGGCACTGAATTTTGGGGTTTCCGGGAGAAAGGCTTCTGTTCAGTCTGTTGCAGGGCTTTGGTTTTAGGGTTTAGGGTGGTGGAGTTTCGGAGCTGGCTCTTGCAGGTGCCACTAGATTCGGGGCTTGATGCTTTAA